AAGCATCGCCTTCCCCTCGTAATGACCTTCATTGACTACAAAAAGGCGTTCGACTCGGTGGAGCCAGTAAAGGTCTGGGAGGCGCAGAAGGAGCAAGGTGTTGAAAGGATATACGTGGACGTACCACGAGAATGCTACTCAGACTGTACAACGGTATTCCATCCTTTCTGCAATGACGTTGTAGTAGCAGTTCAGAAAGGAGTACGACAAGGGGATCCGATATCGCCAAACCTGTTTTCCTCCTGCCTAGAGCACGTCATACGTCGCTGCAACTGGAGTAATTTTGGTATCAATACGACGGTGTGCGTCTTAACCATTTGCGATTTGCCGATGATATCGTGTTAATCACGGACTCTCCAAAACTATGCCACTACTTATGATAAATCCTTATTTAATTCTAGCAAGCAATGGAGCAGTCAGCCACTATTCCACAACCGATGGGCAAGAAGAAGAGAGAAGCTTCTCATTGCGTCGACAGTGGTAGCAGCGTTCAATTCCTCAACGACACTAATACGGTCTCTGATGTAGCTGTAAAAGAAACAAAAAAAGAGTTGCCAAGGCCTTCGAAGCTGCCAGGGAAATCGCAGTAGCCGAGAACCCGCAGACGAAGCGTAAACCTCGTGCAGGTGACGCATCACAAGGACCGTCATCAGCTAAGAAATCGCGAACCCAAATCTCGAACATGAAAGATTGCTGCGCGAAGGAGGGGCACTGCTGTTGAATGCTGCTGAAAATATGGAAATTCTCACTCGTCGAAGTGACCCCACACTTCGTTGGTCTCGCAGATCAAGGAGACCGAACAAAGGCTCAAGTTCTACCAAGACCAGACGACGAGAGTGATGAAAGATGTACGAACGTCATTTCCGGCACAACTCCATTCATGGAAGACGTCCGATCTCGTCTCGAAAGAATCGAGAACAACACTTCTGACATCACGAAACCATCCGACCTCAACGACGCTAATGCTGCCCTCGCCATTCGTTGGGACGAAATACACCAAGACGTTCAGCGAACGAAGGAACTCCTTGAGCTGCACAACTCCCAGAAGCGGTCCTTCGAGATCAACCTACTACAAGGACGTCTCGATGCGATGAAAGCCAACTTGCAGCACTCACTACTGCCAACTTCACTCGTGCCACGCGGAGCCCACTCCACATAGGAGTGACGCAGAGGACGAGATTCGCCCCCCAAGTCCCTAGCATCGTCGATCCGCCGGGAGTATAGAGTATAGAGGATCTGCGATTTCTATTTTTTGTTCTCTATATTTTTGTTCGTCTTGTTTGTTCATCCTATTTGTTCATCCTATACGTGTGACTCATTTGTAACTGTTCCTAACGTTATCATCTGGCTCATCTGTAGCCCGAAAGGGCAAAATGTTTACTGCTCGGAGCACTGTACGCTTTATCTGTGAGCTCCATCTCAACTCCGCCCACATACCATATAAGTAGCGGTCAGCAGCTCTCAAGATTCGGTGAGCCTCCTTTTCTTGCCTTCACATCGCTACGCTCATCCTTATCTCTTCAAGTTTGCCTGTGGATCGTACGTGCGATAAATTTTGTGTGTCAAGAGGCTGTGCGTACTGACGAAAGAACCCGCGTGGCACGTCAGACGAGCAGACACTCCAACGATCCCAGCTCAAGCAAATCTGCATCACCTATAGTACTAGTGGTTAGCAAAGGTTCCAACAAAGACCATTCACCGTCGATTATCGGCAAATCAATTCCATCACGGAAACTGAGAAGTAGTGCATACCACATATGCAGGACAGATTGGACCTTGTGAGTGTCAAAGAACTGTACACGATTCTCGAGTTCAAAGCGGTTTCTTCCAAATACCATTAGCTCCAAAACATAGGGAGCGCACTGCTTTTTCATCCTTCCTAGGAGTATACCACTTCATTGTAATGACACAAGGTCTCAAAGGCATCCCAGCTACGTTTCAACGAGTCGCGAATAGCCTCATAAAAGGATTACGCGCTTGCTGTTTTGCCTACATCGACGGCATAATCATAGCGATCCAATCGGTGGACAAGCAACTCAGCGAGCATGAAGAAACCTTTCAACGCATCCGAGCGTTTGTAATGGAACTTTCGTGACTTTCACGCCTCGAGCAAAGTTGCTCTACGGCCGAGGTGCGAGGAGGCCGTGGTGCGCCAGTATTCAGATCGTGCGGAAGTCTCGAGAAGGTAAAAGTGCATGCCCTCTGACGCCAACCACGTGTCAGTTCATCATCGCACGTCGTCTCGGTTGGCTGTACTATTCCGTCATCTCCGCCACGATGAAGCCACACGAGGAGCACCGCCTAACGTCTAAGGTCTTAGGCCTAACTCACTAATATTCTTGCAGCCAGGATGCCTGAGGCAAAGCTCAGGTAACGCTTCTTATGATTTCACCACTGGAATTCGCTATGATGCAATAAACTCGGTGGTAACTTGTTGGTACTAACCTTTGTTTCCCTTAGTTATTCTCACTTACTAGTACGTAGTCACTCAACAACCTTCTGCTCATACTGATTGCTTAACCTGTTTACAGGTAATTATGCAGTTTACTCTTAAACACAATCAGCCTCTACCCTTTATACTATGATTTATCATGTGAAGTATGTATGATATCAGTGTAGTCTCTTCGCATACTAGTTCATCGCAACCATCGCTTACATCGTTTCTTCGCTTCTCGTTGCAAGTCCTCCGGAATCCGTCGCAGTCGCTCCAGCCCAAACGTCCGCTTATTTGCTCGACTTTTTTACCTTGGTTCCTCCCGTCTTCATCACCGTCGTCAACTCGCTTAAAGGGTTGGAAGGCCTCAACTCGCACCCGCGTCAGGACTGGGGTAATAAGCCTCCGAGCCTTCGCAGGCGCACACAACCTACCCTCAGGTGAGGCGGGCACCAGGAATCCCACAGCCGCGACGTCCACCGCCGATGCAGTCTTCTTGTCTCAGCCCACGCAGAGCATGACAGAAACTAACTTCAGAAAAGTGCTCATTTTTTCAGACAGATGTGCAATATTTAGGTTTCTTCAACAGAAATGGCACTCGTCCATACCCGGACAAAGTAGCCCGTATCGCTTACATCTCACGTCCAAGAAACCTAAAGGCAATTCAATTCTTCTTAGAGCAACACCCTACCCCTAACGCTATATTCCGCGCTTCCCCATTATGGCTACACCTCTTCAGCACCTACTGCTCGAAAATGGCCATTCAAATGGATCGAGGCTCAGGAGCAATCGTTCTCAGCCCCCAAGAACAAGGAGATCGTTCAAAAAGCGCATCACACACGTGGGCTACGATCTAAGGTACACAATAAGCTATACCCAGAAAACCTTCCCACCGTAGATTAAGTCCTTTTGCGTGACGACACACTTCGTCCTAAACTCACAAAACTCACAAACCAGTGGAAAGGCCCTTTTGTAATTGAGAGGTTAGTCGCCCTAACATAATAATTACTAATCTTTTAGGTCGCCCAATGCGACAAGCGGTGCGTATCAATAGTCTAAAACTGTATACTCCCCGTACAATGCCACCTGAAGCCTCTAACATAAACGACATCACCACTCGAACCGCCAGATATAGGAGCATCAAGTGGGACTGAGAGCCGTAATAAGACGATCTCGTCATCTTCGGGAGGAGCAAGAACACTCAACAAACCAATATGATTGAGCTGAAACATGTGTTCTTACAACGAGAACACAATCCTTCGCAAATTAAAGTTTTTAAACTCCTGTTAAAGCGAGAGGAACCTTGAGCCCTCTACGTGTTGTGAGGTAGAGCATTTGCAGTGCGCGTGATCTATGATTTGCGTCAATTATCATTGGCGCCAAAGAGGCCGGCGGGAACGAGAGCTATAAAAATCCAACGCACTAGACTCGACAGTAGTTACTTACAGTTAGATTTTTCTCAGGTAGGAGTCCTCTGAGCCCCAGCACGCCCCCCTTTTCATTTTTTTGTTTTATCTGAGGTATTTCGCACGTTCGCCAGTTCGTCGTTGATTGTTTTTTTCATTGTTTGTTGCCGTTGGTGCCATTGTTCTTTTTATATATAGTTGCCAAATAAACCGTTTGGTTGCTTAGTGTTCGCCCATTGTGCTCGATCGAAAACTGCAGTAAATACTACTCTTACTACTCTCCACATGATCTTGCAAACACATTTCCTTGGAGAAGCGGTTCAAGGAAACGTGCGTCGCATTTTTCTTTTGCTATAGTACCAAACAATGTTGATTTGCCTTTCAAGGACAGGGGCAAACTCCTTTTGACCGCAGATGAACAGAAAGAAGATAGCTCGAAACACCCTTAACTGCCTAAACCACAGAGGACTTACTGTTTCGAGGGGATAGAGCCAACTAATGAGCTCGACGTCGATGTCTGCGTGCTATAACCCCACAAGAGACACTCGAAGCGATTCAATGCCTTCGCAGCGGGAGAGCCCCTGGCATAGATGAGATCCCGGCAGAGATGTTAAAGGCGGGTGGCAGCACAATAGTGAAGAAGCTCACGGAACTGTATAACCGTTGCTGGAATGGTGGAGAGGTCCCAGAGGACTAGAGGAAAGGAGTAATTGTGAAGCTACAAAATTTGGCGGATTGTGAAAATTTGAGAGGTATCACACTTTATTCGGTTCCTGGAATAGCATTATGCGTTACACTGTTGTGATGACTCCGTGATGCAATAGATAACCAATTAAGAGAAGAACAGGCTGATTTCAGAAAAGAGAGATCGTGTTGGGAGCAAATATTTACTCTTCGTAACATTGTCGTGCAATGTATTGAGTTCGAGCATTAACTCTTCATCAGTCTCTTAGACTTCGGAAAAGCATTCGATAGCGTACACCGCGAATTATTGTGGGAAATACTCAAAATGTACGGCATACCGCCACATGCACAGGTGTATTGTTACAATTTTCTTGTTTCAATTTTCGGTTCATTAGTTCCACTTACTCTATTTTGTCAATTCTAGCTGATCAGAAACCAGATTATCGAAGTTTCTACATAGATCAGCCTGATCGATTTCCGTTAAGACCTTCATC